ATAATTCCGATAATCTAACAGATTCTGTTTCGTAATTATTAGATCGTTTTTTATGAATATCAAAATATATTTTTACTTGTAATTAGAGCGCCTAAAAAAATACACAAAAGGGACACCGATGTCCCATCTGAGGGATAAAAAGGGAATTTTCGAATTTAAGCTAAATATTTGTACAAGAAATATTGCGTGTTTATGTATATATATAGAATTTAAATTGAAGAATTTATTATTTATATATATTTTTAATTAGTATGCAGCAAATATAGTGAGTGGATTATTGTAAAATTTTAATTAATAAGCGTTGGCCAATGCTTGCAACTAATGAGTTTTCAATAAAAATTTCTACTCAAATAGCTTTTAATATCAATTTAGGGTAAAGTAATTGCTTTTAAATTCTTTCAGGTTAATTAACGAAGCTTTATTATGTTTCTAGGAAGATAACTATTGTCTTTTGTTTCATGCATAACTCCTCTTCCTTAGCCTTTTGTATTATTATCGCCGTCATTAAAATTTTTCCGGTCAATTCTTTTCAAAAACCTACTTAGTTTAAAAATCACATTTTTAAATAAGGAAAAATAATATTTAATAAATTATATAATTTAATACAACTTGTTCTGATCTCAAATAAAATATGATTTTCTTTTAATAACTAAAACTTTTTTTGAAAATTGTCGCAAGATGCGGATATATTTATGTTCATTGCAAAAAATAACTTGTTTATAGATTATAAATATGAATTGTTTGGCCTGTGCGTTATGTCATAGAATTGTGAAGTGAAAAATAATACTAAAACTGCATTTTTAAGGCAATTTTTTTTTGTAATATTTGAAAAATAATGCACATAATCAATAATAATTAAAATTTTAATTGATAATTCTTCGAGAAAATTGATCTTCAAATCCATTTGGATTACAATGTACAGTCAAAAAAGTAAAAATACCGAGCAGTTCCAAAAAGAGAGATGATTTAATAAATAAATTTTTATAAAAATGGGAAATGTAAATGCTCGGGTCTGCTTGGGAAATGAATTGCTCTTCCTCACCAATTTTTTAAATTAGTTATAAAGTTTGACAACAGATGACTCTACTTGACTTGTAAAACTTTGAAAAAAGATGTTTGTCACGGGATGTGAGATAATTCCCTCTGAAATATTTGCGAGAACGTCTGTTAATTTTCTTCTCAACTGTTTTTAACTGCTTAAAAATAGTGATTATTTTAAAAATATTGTTTTATTGTTTTTATCTGTTAGCAACGCTATTTGCTGAAGAGTTTTGTAGCATATTTCAAAAAATTATAAGAAAATGATATTTTTTCCAAGAAATATCATTTAAAAATTCTAACAATTTTATATCGTTCCTTTTTTTTTAAGTTGATTTTTTAAAATATCTGTCATTTTTTAAAAGGAGAGCAGTAATGAAAATGCAATTCAAACTTTTAACACCGTTTATGTGAAATAAACTCTAATTGAAAAATGAAATTCATTTTTAGGAAGCTGCATGAACCACATTGATGAATGTGAAATGTACAAGGAAATACGAATAATACTACGAAGTTTACAATATACAGCGTGTTTCAATACTTATGCCAGTTATGGATGTTTTTCTTTTTAATATTTGAGAAAATTAAGTCATAAATGCGTAAATATCAAGGCTCATAAATTAATAATTAAGAGAAAAAATTGTTAAAAAATTTTGTCTTTAGGTAGAGGAAAAGCTTAATAATTGAAAACCGGTTTATTAGATGTATAGAACTGAAAGACGTTTGCGATTCGTTAGGAATCGCTTTACTCTGGCCAAAAACTATAAGGTACATTTACATTATCGTTTCAATGTTTAAGTCATACTAAACTTATTTTACGTCATTAATGTTTTAACCCTTTGTAACTCAACAACTCTGATTTAAGAAATATTTACGCGGATGTTAGAATACATCATATTAAGCGTGTAAGAAATAATGAAAAAATTAAGACCTTAAAATTAAAAATATATTGATAAAAAGCATTTGTTGAACATCTCCAATATCGTGAAAAATAGCACAAAAATTCCAATATATTTAAAACTTCATGTGAAAAATTTTGAAATTGTTGTTTTTATGGTAACAAGGTCTCACACATCATTTTTCAATCCCTCCTTAGCCAAATATGCAATCAAGGGGATTGTTGTAAAAAAAATTGTATATCCTGCAATTATGTCGTGGAACAATTCTTGCTAAACGCATTATAATATTGGCAGCTGCACCAAGACTTGGTTTCCCCGAGTTTGCAATATTTTCTTTACCTGAATTTAGTTCGATTTTGTAGGTAAATCCACCTCATTATAGGATTGAATTTTCATGTATGTTGCAGATATGTAACGCGGAGATACAAAGGGTTAAAGAAAAAATATTTTTTGATATCTATTTTTCAATGCATACATAAAAAGTAAAGTGATTAAAAAAAGAAACTAAGCATTCTTTTTTTTTAATTTAAGCTGGTAACAAGTTTGCATTTTAAAAATTCTTCGATTCCAGGTAGCAATAATCTTTTGAAGTATTCCGGCAGTTTTAAATATAAAGTTTTCTAATTTGTTTTAAAACCAATATGAAATTCGTCTAGCATTGAGTTAAACATAGTGATTTTTCTAAGATATCCTCATGTAAAAATATTCGAAACGCGTGAGAATATTCAATCGGAAAAAAAAACTGCATTACTAAACATTTAATTTGGAAATTGATAACTGTGGCCGTTTCGAAACAAACAAAGCCATAACATTGATAATACAGTCTGTTAAATTAAACTCATTAGCTTAAATTATTTAATTTAGTTATTTGCTGCAGCACTAATAAAATGCTCTAATCAAATAATTGTAATATAATTGACAGTTACAATTTCGTTAATTAACTGCATTTGTTTCAGTAGTTAATTTGTATATATCTATTACGCTTTCCTATTAAAAGCAAGTCAATGACTAATTCAGATGATTAAATAGACGGATAATTACTCATAAACTATTTACTCCAATACACGTCCTTTAGCATGTGTCAACGAAGGGAACAAGCTCAGTCGAGAGACAAATTAGGAAAGGGGTATTGCGATTGATTAGAACTCTATTCGAATTTATCGCCCGTTCCTAATCTTCAGCATGGATTTTGACTCTGTACTCCCCAAAAGTCATCTCTTTTTTTTCTCTGAGGACCGATCTGTATTTCTTATCCCTAAGACTCACCCTTATACCAGTTCTTTTTCGTAGAAGTTTGGGGAGAAAAACGTTACATGGCGGAATTGGATCTGACATGAAATAGCTATATAAAAGAGAATTGGTATGGCATTAGATCGGATATTAAATTGTAATCGTAGCTTAGCTCAGTATATATTTGAAATGAAAGGAAACTATTGGGAAAACACATTTTTCTAAAATAAACCATTTGGTTTTAAGATTTTTAATATAGATTTACTGACAGAAAATAAGTTTTTCATTCTCCTCATGTCTTTATGTCTATTAATTATTATTTTAAAACAGCCCTTGCAAAGATTTGTTGTTGTTTTCAATTTTATGTGACTTTCATGTTTCAATATGTTCCAAATGTTAATGCAGATTTTTTTTAAAAGTAAGAGTAATGTTATTTAACAATTGACTTAAATATACTTCTATTAAATTTAAATCAGAACATAAAGTGAAAATTTTTAAATCATTGGAAGTTCTTTTTCATTATTTTCTTTTCAGTTCTTTATAAAATTATTTTCTCAGAAATTTATTGAAATATACTGCACTGATATTTTAAAACATTCTATAAGATCACAACCTCTTTAGTCTTTCATTGTATGTAAAAAGAACCCTATTATAGAAAATATGAGACTAAATACTTTGAAAAATGTATAGTGTGCAATTTAAGGTGTTCTGTAAGCAACGCTCTTGATGTATCTATTTTGAGAATCTTCATTGAATATGTAACCATTTTATTTAGGGTTACAAGACAATATTTGAGCTAGGGGAAATAATCAATATCGCAGTTTGACAAATTAAAATTGGGGAAAGAATGATAAAAACCTCTTTGAAGCTCATCAAAAACGAGAAGATTTGGTATGTGATTATTAAAAGCACCTTTAAGCTTTAATCGACAGTCAAAAAAATTTTGGTTTGGCAGACTTTGAAAGTGTTTTCCTTTTTTCCTCGCCTGAATATTGATTTGCAATTCCCAAGGTGTATACTTTTTTCATTTCACATTTTATAATGTATATAAAAATTTATGTTAAGGGTGAAAATTGCGAAGCTTCCTGTCTATACCAAATCGATAGAACTCCATCTTTTCACATCATAATTAAGAAATTTTTATAATAATAATATTTTTTTAACTCATAAGTTCTTTTAACTATAATATTTACAATTACACTTTAACAAACTACGTAAAATAGGGTATTAATTAAATTTTGTTATTTTAAATATTATTGATTTTTTAAACTTTATAAATTTGTCCTCAAATAAATGATCTCAATGGCGTAAGATTGTTAATTAAATTTTCTGAAATCGATAATATAAATACAAAACTTTAAAAACATTGTTATATGGAAATCTTTTTATCAATACAAAAGACTTCCGTCTGAATTAGAAAAAATATTATTTATTTTCGACAATAAGTATTCATCACTTTTTATTTTAATTGAATTTCCTCATAAGAAAAGAAATTGTTGTTGATTTTGAATTACTGTATTTTGTGTAGTGAATTCCACAGTAACTAATATTGATTAAAAATTGTAATGATTGAAGGAAGAAATTTATGAATCTCGTTTCAATATCTTATTTAAATTGCAGATGGAATGTATTGAATACTACTAGAAAAAGTGATACGAATGATATTGAAAAGTTATAATCTTTATGAAATGAGAAAGAATTATATAAATCTTACAAAATAATCAATTAATTTAAAAAAAATAATAGCAATGATTCTATCTTTCATACTTTATCATTATATAAGAAATAAAAAATTGATGCAACAGAAACAACAGAAACTAAAATTATACTTACAAAGACGACCAAAACCGCAACTGAGATGCTTCCTTAGTTTCTGTATGCGGGAGGACTTCTTCTCTTTTGTCGTCACCTCTAAATTAAAAAGTGAACTTCATTAATTTCTTGATAATTGCATTACCTAAGAAATTTATTGAGAGTTAAAAATGTAACTAATATAAATTCGTGTATCTATCGTTTTGTGAAACTTAAACACTCGTAACAACAATATATATGCATGCAAATTATAAATCTTAAAAATATGTAAACGAAAATTAATAATAATCAAAGTTCGTTCATCCCTTTTGAAACGAAACCATAGTTTTTAGAGTTTATATTTTGTCAAGATAATAGATTTAAACATAACAAACCCTTTTAAAATCTTATACAACGTTACATGTTTTACACATAATTATAATTCAGCAGCTTATTATCCAAATGTGAAACAATAGTAATTTAATATAATATTTTGCCATAAAATCTTAAAAATCTACCAAATAAAAAATATTAAAATAACTATATGTTTTTGAAAAAAACACTTTCCCAACAAATGATTTGAATATACAGAGTAAAAATAATGTATAATAGGCTCTTATTAATTTATAATTCGAGTTATTGATTTAACAACTTTAAAATGAATAGATTTCCATATCCCCATAAAGACATAATTACTTGATATATACAAGAAATATAATAAAGAAAACAGTGTCTTTAAATAAAATATAGAATGAGAACAATAAATTTATGGAACACACATTTTGTTTTAGATCGAATGTGACAATATGCGTACATAAAAACAAAACTGCAAGTACAACGTTGTCAGAGAATTAAGAATATTTGAATCTGATATAGAAATAAATAAATGAATAAGTAAAACGATTACAAAATAATAAATGGTTAATAAAAATGGTACAAAATAAAATTAACAATTTACGGAATTTATCTTTAACCTTGATAATATTTTAAACCTATCATAGTGATAAATAAAATCCTTAAGTACACCACTGAAAGGGTTTTAAAAGTGCCACTTCATAAAAATAATATATTATGAAACCAATCCTTTGTTTTAAAAGCTAACGTGACATCAGAAAAAGAGAAAAAAAAACTCTAATTAGAAGTCAATAAAAATTACACACATCAGTAATAATTAACGGAATTTATCTTTTAATCTTGGTATTTCTTTTAACCTAGAATAATAACTAATAAAAACCTTAAGTACACCCTTGTAAGTGTTTTAAAAATGGCGCTATATAAAATTAATATTTTATAAAACCCAACTTTTGTTTTAAAATCTAAAATGGCGTCAACTAAAACTCTTAATAAAATCCTATAAAAATTAAACAAAACAGAAATAACAATTTACAGAATTTATCTTTTACCTTGATATTATTTTAAACCTAGCATAGTAAGAAATAAAAACCTTAAGTGCATCATTGAAAGGGTTTTAAAACAGGCAAGTAATAATAAAAAAATATTTTATGAAACCTACCTTTAGTTTTAAAATCGAACATGACATCAAAGAAAACTCTAAACACAAAATTGCAAAGTACCCTAGTACAGCGTTGACGAAGTTAGAGTCATTGAGAAGGATGTCAAAAAAGATAGAATGACGAAACGCTCTTTACCGCAGTAGATGAAATGGTTGCACGAAAGCTATTTAAGTTTCTGAAAAGCGTAACATTTACATCAGCCAAAAACGTGTCTTTAGTTAAGCGAAAGTTGATAACATAACATTCAGAAGAGAAACACATTTAGTATTCAGCTGCGTTGATGTTTTTCGAAATTTGCTTTCTTTTTTCCTACTCCCCGCAGCTGAATAGACTTTTACTTCTGGTTGATGATATAGTTAGTTGAGAATCACGTGTACTTACTAGAAACAAAATGTGGACATCTTTTACTTTATCTTTTTTTTAAAAAAGATCTCATTAAAATGATAAATTAGATATTTTTAAAACTGTGTAGCAATATTTTGGCGGTTGTTATTTGACAGAAGAATAATTTGAGACGTCGATTCTTCGTTTTATTTAATCACAGAATGTTTTCGACGATTGTTTGATCGATAAATTTTTAAATGTATGATTTTTTTCAGAAACTCTTAATGTTAGTTGTTAGCATTGTTATCGGTTCCCTTTTTGAGTTTTTTTTCATCCCAAAGCTGTAAATTTTCAAAAGTTCTCTAAAATTAATTTTGAAAAAAAAATACATTCTGTATATTATTTAGCTTGGATCACTAAAAGCTTATGTTTAAAAATTTATTCAAAAATGTCTATAATTTTATGATAGTGATGATTTAATGTGTATTCATAAAATTTTTGTAGTTGTACTTCTTACAAATAGCTAAATAGAGCAATTAAAACACTTATCTAATAACATGTAGTTTTTTAACATGTTTTCTATTATATTATATTATATTATATTATATTATATTATATTATATTATGTTGTATTATTAATAATGCAATACAAACAATTGAGAGAAAGAGGTGTTAACTCTAGTCAGTTATCTGCTTGGAAAATCAACCATGTCATTCTTTCCAGATATATCAAACACGCAGACTAAATTAAACTCTCCCTAATCAATTGTAGTTTGTAAATACTCTGATAAGAATAATTTAAAAAAAATTCACATGATTTATTTATCTTAATGAAATGTTTAATTTTTATTAAAAATATGACGTTTTGAAAGTTCTATTTTTTATAGTAAATAATAAAGTTAAGAATATCTAACAAATTAGGGAAAATATTTTTAGTATTTATAATCAAAACTCAAAAAATTACTTATAGTTAGAGTTTGTACGGCTTTAAGAAACAAAATCTTTCTAATGGAAAAAAACAACAATCAAAGAAAATTACATATTTTTTTTATTAAAATTTTAATTTTTCTGAATTAAATGCTTTATTTTTTGATAAATTAAATTGCTTTTGATAGGTAATTTCTGTTGAAAAAGAAAGTTTTTATTATTAATATTTAAGAATTGAAAAATTGCTTATAGGCATGACTTGCATGGGTTTAGGAATATTCCGGAAAATTACCTCACTATATGGCAATGACATTTCTGGCAAAAGGAAACCATAATTCTGGTAATAAAAACCAAAATATTCGGTATTTAAAATTTTAATTTGGTAATTTTTCTATCCGTATGGTAATTAGCGGAAATTTTGGTTTTCAAAATTATAGTTCTTATTACCACAAATTTATTAAGAAATACAAAAATAAAATAATTTGACCGAATAAGTTGATTTTATACCATGCTCAAAAAAACTATCATGATGAATTTATCAACATTTACCACATTTATCAAGTTTTACAGTAAATATCATGAAACCATTTTTCATTGTTAATTTTACGAAAACATTGGCTTGGGTTAAAAAAAGTACTTAGTTTTTCCTAACTACTGCACTGAGAAAAATACTAGAATATGAATAATCTATTAGAACACTAAAAAGTTCGGTAATTTTCAGCAAAGCGCTTTGGTAATGATTTTGGTAAAATTAACAATAAAATATAGTTTTATAATAAATGATAAAATGTATTATATATGGTAAAATTTGGTAATTTCATCCTAATATTTTAGAGCATGACATAAAAACCATTTATTTGGTAAAATTTACTTTTAAGTTTTGTATTTTTCCCTAAATGTGTGGCAATAAGAACTATAATTTTAAGAACCAGAATTTCAGGAAAACCGTTACTATATGAATAGAAAAATTACTAAATGACTGGTTTAAATATCGTATATTTTGGTTATTATTAACGGAATTAAGTATATATAATTTTTTTTAACCAGAAATTGTCCCTACCATTCAGGACAATTATTTAACGGAATTTTTTTTTCCGTGTGTTAATAGATGATTACTCTCAAAATTTCCATTCTAGATTTTTTTACGATGAAATAAAGTATTATTTTTATTTCAATAGAAATGCTTTTTTTAATTTTATTTTTCACAAATTGAAATACGGTGTGATCAACAGAACTGAATAATGTCTTTGATTGAACAGCCGACTCAATTTTTTGGGTTTACGACTACTAATGTTCAACTCAGTAGCCTTGTAATTTTGAACCCAATCCAGAAGATAAGGGAACTCCTGGATCAAGTATTGGGAGAAATTTGCCTTCGTGGAGGACTTTCTGTTGGAACTAACCCGCACTTGCATTACACGGAGAGGAAGACCGCGAGAACCTCCCACGGTTAGCCTGACAGCACGGGGACTCTAACATATGATCCGTTTACCACTGAGGATATTTCATGTAAGCACTGTGGTCGGTGCAAACTGGATGCGGAATTCGTATCGACCAGCCATCACTGGGATTCGAACCCGGTTCACCTCATTAGAAGGCGAACGTTCTATCCCCTGAGCCATCGCGGCTCTGAATAATATCTTTGTAAAAAATTTAATTCTGGCATATCTTATATGTATATTTAAAAGTTAGCTGTTTAAAAAAATGTTAATTATGCTTCCCTGATAACGTGTATTTTGTTTGATAACACCAATTAATAATATGAAACTTCCGATCCTACGCATTTTTTATTAAAGAGATCTCTTTAACTGTCTAGACATTAGCCTATCATATTTCTATAACGAAATTTGAAAAGAAATAAAATTACAGTTAATGATAATTTGCAGAAAAAGTTTTTGAGTATTATCTTAACGAAACAGCTTCCAACCATTGACCTTTTTCTGTTCGACGAATGCCTTACTAGGAAAATAAAAAAAGAAAATAGATATTGGGTAACAAAACATTTCTTTGTATCACTTTTTCTAACCAGTCTCCAAAATTTCATTCCCGATGTCTCTCCAGTTGTCATCTTACCGTAGGCGAAAGAAAAAAAAAAAGCTGAAGGAAAATAAGTTCATTCATTCAAAAGGGTTGCCGGATTGATAGTGAAAAGTTTCCGGATAACGATTTCCGATGGCGTTGACCTCATTTCGGGAGTGAATGGCGGGAATGGATTCCCGTTCTATTTAATCTTCTCCGTTAGGGGGGTTTTTCCGGAGACTTATTGATGCTTCGACATAGACAGGCGATAAGAAAAGCTATGGAATGGGATCTGTATGTCGGGGGTGATAAAGTTTGGGCAATTGACCATCAGAGGAGTTTTCATCAACCATGGCGCTTATGTTATGCAAAATAAATGCTCTTTTTGGGAGAAATGTCAATAAAGAAGTGAAATGTTTTAAAGCCCATTTTATATTATTTCTATAGAAAAAAAAAACAGTTTTGAATTGTATTTCTTAAATTAATGACGTTATTTTAAACATTATAGTAAACCAATTTGGATAGAAATTTGCTTTACTAGAAAAAAACGTTTTTAAAAGAAATACCAATTGTAAATTACGAAAACAATATTAAATATATTGTTTTTAAATATAGTTGAATTGTAATAAAATTATTTTATTTAATAAAAATTAAAAATTCATTAAGAAGACGCTTACCACCATAGACTTTTACCAAAAGAACATCGTGTATTGAACAATTAACAATTTGTACAATTAACAATTGAATATTAACAATTTGTATTGAATTGTAGAGCTCAGATTTTATCTATTGATTAAGACAATTTTTGAATACTGATTTAATTTATGACTTTAGAATGGTTTGTATCGTAAAATTATTTATGATGCTGGGTCACGTGTGAGACAGTGTGGTAAAGTAAGGATTCATCAAAAAACATCTAGTGTTTTCTCTTTAAATTAAGGTAATTATAAAATTTTTTTTTCAGAAGCATATACTGTGGTAGGCATTTTTTTAAACTTCTAGTTATGAGAAACTCTGAAAATGTTTAACTATCATTTACATATGTTTAACGTTACTAATGCTAACTTACCAGTAACTAATGTTTAACTATCTGTTTATGATAAAATTATACGGTATGTTAGCTAAAGTTGCTGATGAATTTTCCTCTAATGTCATTATGAACTGGCAAATACTATTAATTTTATTTCAGTATATTTAGTATACTGCACTTTAATACTAAAAAGTACAATTCTAAAGCAATTTCAGAAAAAAAATAGTTAAAATGTTATAATTTAATGTGTAGAAATGCTGGTCGAAAGCGAAATTGAGTTTATAGTTTACTTTCTTCTTCAGTTGTAATTTTTAAGAAAATATTTGATCATCGTTGTTAAATTCCTTACAATTATTTTTCTTGAAATGACAAATTTTTGCTAGGGTTTAATTAATGTCATAGAATTTATTGAGTACAGTTTAATGTGTCTAAATATAACGTAAGATAAGATTATAATTTATCTCAGTAAAAATAATCAATTAAATTTAGTTCATTGCTTAATTAATTTTCCTACACTCATTCAAACAGTATAAGTACATACATGATGTAACAAAACAATAAATATGGTTTTGTAATTTGTACTTTTATAAATTTTCTTGCACGTAACAAAATTTAGTAACTTTATCATTACATCTTAGACCAGGGTATGAAAACCATTCATACGGTTAAATTTACTTTTTAGTTCTGCATTTTTCACTAAATGGGTGGAAATAGGAACTATAGTTTTGAAAACCAGATTTTCAAAAAATAGGTTATCATGTGAGTGGAAAAATTACCAAATGAATGGTTCGAATACTGTTTATTTTGTTTTTATTAACCAGAGTTAGAGTTTTTTTTAAATTAGAAATGTCATAGCCATATACAGTATCATTATTTCACCAGATTTCTTTTCTCCGTGAAGACTTTGCCCTGAATCTTTCTCCTAGATAAATTGATAAATTTTACTAATATTTTCAGATTCTGCTCTTGAATTCATATCATTTCACCCTAATCTACAT